ATTAACAATGGGCCAAGATCATGGCGATAGGATACACCTTGCACCTTTAATGTCTAACCAAGTCTAAGCACTCCACAGCCTTCCTGGCCGTTGGAACAAATTGTTCTCATCCACCCATTTTGCCAGTGGAAGTCTTTATATGCTTGAGGTAGACCCTACTTCCCACCCCCCAAACTCACTGACAGGTTTGAGGCCTGTCCGTTACTCTTAACCTGGTTTACCTTCTCTGCTGAGACAAGACTAGGTGTGGCCCCTGCTACAGCTTCTTGGAGCCACAGGTAAGGGTTGAGTGCCAGGCAGACACCAAAGGTGGATAAGCATCCCTGATAAGGGCTCCAAAAGCCTTCACATCAGGGATGCTAGTCCTTAAACATCCGCTATACCCCTTTAAATCTATGATTCTATGTGCAAGACATTGAGCTAGAGAGTAGGGATGATACAAAGATAAAAATGACAATCTCTGTCCCAAAGACCCTATTTCCTGAGCAGAGCCAGGAGAAAAAGTATAAGTATCCAGTACACACAAAGTAAATATCAAATAATTTGGAGGGTAGTATAAAGTACTAAAAAATGGTTAAGAAAGGCCTCATCTAGAAAGCGGTCTCTGAGTCAAACCTTGAAAGAAGCTAGGGGACAGGTAAGGAAGAAGCTGGTAGAAGTAAGAAGAAATCATTCCAGTTGGAAGGGAGAAAAACAACCTGTGCAAAGGCTTATGGGAGATGCAATGTCATATGTGGAAGCTTGGCTGGAATGTAAAATGTAGGAGGAAGTTACACAAAATTATTAGTCTGGAAAGTTAGGTTGGAACCAGATTGTGAAGGGTTTAGGCCTGGAGTCAAATCTGACCTTAGATATCTAGTTGTTTGACCATAGACAAGTCATTTAAGCCCTGTTTGCCTCAGCTTCATGTATAAAATGGGGATAATAACAGCACCTGCCACCCAAGGTGGTTGTGAGGAGCAAATGTGGTATTTGTAAAGTGCTTAGCACAGTGCCTGGACCACAGTAAATGCTATATAAGGGTCGTAGAAAATGTGGTTGGGAATGTTGCTTCTGCATATGGTAATGAGTATGGCAGGGTAATGAGTAGCTGCTGGGGTATTGACAAGTGTAGCCTGTTGACAAGTTAATGTGGGGGAATGGGAGATATAATTAGGGGCAGAGACTCACTTGGGGAGATTAGGTGCTACAGATAGGCCGTAAACCCTGCATTACCCAGGCAATGGGGAAACAGGGGAGAGAACTGCAATTCCAGCCTAGGAACAAAAGCTTTGCTCTCCCTTGTGTAAGGTATGCCCACATGTGGGACACCCTGCCTTGCTAAGCCTAAAAAGTTTTATCTGGTTCACTGATAGCTTCTTGGAACTTATGTTGCTTACAAAGTTAACAGCTTACTGCTGCTGCTTTTTAAGTTTCAAATAAAATTTCTTATTTTATCCCAGAGACAAGTGGGAGTCACTGAAGCTGGATGAAAAAGATTAGCCTCTGTTTAGCAATACCTCAGATTATTAATTTTAAGTCAGACAAGGTTTTTTTTAAATTTTAATGGCCTTTAGGACCAATTTAGTGGAGCAGTGATAACAAATCAAGGACCACAGGGAAATTGTAATAGTCCAGGATAAAAAAATACAATCACCTAATTTAACTTAATCCCAACATCCTAAAACTTCCAACTCCATTCCCTCTGATTTGGCTATGCTCACAGAGTCAAATCTTTTTCCTGAGGTACAAAGAGAATGGTGTGCAAATTTCTTAACATCCAACTCTGGCAGCTGGTGGTGCAGTGGACAGAGCGATGGGCCTGGACCAGAAGATCTAAGTTCAAATTAGAACCCAAACACTACCTATGACTCAATTTGCCAAGGCCTGTTGATTTTACCTTTGCAACACCTTCAATAGCTGTACTACTGCCAAGTCTTTGGTAACTGGTGGGCATCCTGGCTCAGTCACCTACTTCTCAAATCCTAGTCAGAGGCTATAACCTTCTGATTCATTAAATACCTCCCCGAACACTGGGGTAGGAGTGGGACCAGTTTGAGGGCAAGAATAGTAGCAAGTTCCTATTGAGACTTGAAAAGGCTGAAGCTGGCCGAGTTTAGCAAATGGGGGTAGGATACATATGTCCAGATGTCTCTTAATCGGAAAAGACAGAAATATTACTGCTCTGCTCAAAGCTTTCCTAAAGGTTGTTAGTTATATAGTACTATGGGAAAAGCACTGGCCTTGGAGGCAGAAACAAGGTTCAGATCCTGCCTCTGATGCTTACCACCCTATATGCCTTTAGGCAAGTCACTTTTTAGCTGCCCTAAAATTCACTGTCCTAATTTGTAAAGGGTTGGCTGAATTAGATATAGCTTCTGAGGGCCCTCCAAGGATGTATGACCAGTAGGTAGTGCCAGGCCTGGAGTCAGGAAAACCCAAGTTCAAATCCAGCCTCATTTACTAGCTATATGACCCCACGAAAGTCACTTAACCTGTTTGCTTCAGTTTCCTCATCTGTAAAACTGGAGAAGTGGCAAATCACTCTAGTATCTCAGCCAAAAGTTGACACAACTAAGTCAAGCAGCTGAACAATTTGAGGACCCTTCTGGCTATACAGATGTACAATTGTATTATTTGCACTATGTGGGACAGGAAGAAAAGGGCAGAGGCTGTTTTTCAACTTTGAATCCCCAGCACCTCTCCCTGCTCCTCACACATGCCAAGTGTTTAATAGGACTGGACAATGTATCTCTTGAGGAGCCCTGTCCAGCAGGCTACAAAGGTAGAGAGCCCCTCCAGTGCCCTCTGGAACCCCAAGAGATGGAACCTCCCTAGATCCCAACAGCACTTGTACCAAAGATGAGGAGTACCATGATACCAATGAATGCGAACCAGACTTCTGAAGCATTGTATTACTCCACCCCCCCCCAACAGTACATGTTCATCTAACCCTAGAGGTTTTTTAAGCTTGTTTTGTGCTTTGCGGCGGAAGCAAAAAATACTTATTGAAATCATAGGAGTACTGAAAAACCAGATTTCTGAGCTCAGGCTAGCATTTCTAAATGCTACCTCATTTTTCACTAGATCCTCACAACCCCAAATGCTATTGTCCCCATTTTTGAGATGAGGAAAATGAAGCTGAAAAAGGATATGCCAAAGATAAATAAGATTTAGTTTCTCCCATCTTCCCAACTCCAAATCCATTACTCTATCCACTCTGACACTTAACTGTCTTTGAGACATCTTATAAAAATGTTATTGCTAATGTTGTCAAACTCTACAGTAAATAAAGCACTAAGTTCCAAATTAATTTCTTGGCTGTGTGAGCCTGGGCAAGTCACTTAACCTGTTTCCCTATTTAAAAAAAAAAGGGGGGGGTAAAAATAGTACCTATCTCCCAGGGTTGTTGTAAGGATCAAATAAGATACTTATAAAATGCTTACTGCATACAGTTAAGTGCTTAATAAATGTAGTTTCCTCTCTACCCAGTGAGCCATCCCTTTTAGTTAAAAAAGGGAACAATTCAGCAAAACTAAACCAACAGTTTAACTTCATGTTCCCACCAACTACAAATAAGTGTATTTTCTCACCCTTTCTTCCCAGGCCAAAACTTAAGTATTCATTTTGATCATTATTCAGTATAACCTTTTCCTTGGTCTGCTCACTTCACTTTGCTTCAATTTTCACATCTTTTCAGGGAAATGTCTTTGATGTACTCACTGAACCAAAGCAGTAAAATGTCTGCAACTCTGATGGTTCCTTGCACTGTAGGAGGTTAAGTGACTAGAATTCTCCCCTCCTCTTGGCTACTTGTTTTCTGTCCCACCCCCACCCCTGCAGCCCAGGTTCTCAATCTAACCTTTAGTCCAAATAATGAGCTCTAATGACCAAAGCACCCCTGTACAAAACCCTAGAGACAGAAAAGAATCAGTTTCATCTATTATGTCCCACCACCCCATTCATTTGCCCTCATGGATGAAATAACGTATTTCCAATTTTCTAATTTGGGGAGGAGATATACCCTTTTGTGCCATGAGAACTGTGGTCAGGCATTAGTTCAAAAAAAAAAACTTCCTTTGGCCATTCATTTTTCTTGGAATTTCAGTATCCATCAGAATACTAGATTTGGAGGTTAAGTATATATCCTAGTTGTGACCCTAGGCAAAAGACTATTCTCTCTGAACCCCTCCCTCCTAGGTGGAGTTAAAAGAAAAGGCCTGTCAATCCTCAAAAAAAAAAAGGATCTGATCAAGGAAGGAAAGGACTGATCAGAATTTATCAGGACCTGACTTCAAATCTGGTCTCAAGCATTTACTACCTGTGACCCTAGGCAAGTCACTTAACCTAGACTGCCTTAAAAAAAAAACTGTTAAGTAGAAGAGAACCAGGGTACCAAATAGGGAAAGGCAAAGAATATGTGACTCAAGTGGATTTTATTCAGCCATGGTGGAGGTTTGTAGTCAATGGGTAAGCCTAGGCCTGATCTCTAACTCAAAAATTCTTCCCTCACAATATTCAATTCAAATCTTTTACCTGTTCCTCCTGTCTAGCCCATGATTTCATGTTCCTTATCCCACCCTATCCAAACCATCAAAAATTCCTTAGTTTTTTTTTTTATACCCTGGGGTAGGGATCATTTTAACCCAGCCTGTTCCTAAATACTTACTAGTCTTTTGGGCATGACTTTAATCATCTTTACAAAGGGAAAAACCAGCCAAGGAAAGTCAAACAATCCCCATGCTGAAGACAGGAAACCCATCTTCTACTTCCTAAAACCCTCACAGCTCAAGCACAGAAAGGTCCCTTTTCTCATTCCTCCATCCTTACTTTCACCCAAAATCTCCTTCAGATACCACTAGGGTAACTGGAAAGAGTGAAGCATGCCTGGTAATCCTACTTTCCTACTCACCCCTAGGTATAAATTATCTTGGGGCAAAGATAGAGAAAAGAAGGTAAGCAAGAAAAATAAGGATAATTGTTCCTTCCCAACCCTATCCCTTGGAAAAAAAAAGAATAGAAAAAAACAAACATAATTTATTTGTATAAAATTAACAAAAACCAGCTGGGCTGCATATTACTTATTTTCCTGAATGGACATCTGGGCAACAGCCTTCTGTGCTTCATCTGCAGCTGAAAGAAAAAGATTTGATCCTGTGACTGGAAGGTCATGACTCCTCATTTCTCTAGGGTGTTGTACATACACAACCCTCAATTAATGCATTTCGTCACCCTGGTCCCTTTGTCCAAACCCCCCAAATCCCCTGTTTGCAAGTAAGGAGTTCTTTTCTTAGTCAATTTATTAATAAGCAACATATGCTGACTCAGCAACATCTTCCACTTTTTTTTGGCTCCTTCCCCTAAAAATAGGGGTTTCCAATTGCTTATCTTTATAGGTGGTACAGTGGCTAGAGCCTTGGGGCTTGGATTCAGAAAAGCCTGACTTCAATCTTGTTCATTTGTAACCTCAGTCACTTAAACATGGCCCAGGCTCAGTTTCCTCATTTGTAAAATGGGCATAACATCCACTTACCTCTCAGGTTTACAAAAAGCTTATTAAAAGATTATTTATAAAGTCCTATGGCCTCAAATATATGCAGATGACTTCCAAATCTCTTAGTCCATCCGTGGACTCCCTTGTATTTTACTTCTAAAAGCCTGCTAGATGTCTCCCACCTGTGCCTAGCCAGCATTTCAATTAATTTAATTAAAAACTCCTAGAATAAGGAACATCCACCAATTGTACCCTCCTATTCCAAAAGGGGAAGGAAAAGCTAGAGATATGAAATCTTAACTGAATCCTAATTCTGCCATTTAGCATCTTCTTGAGCCAACTTTTCTTAGGAAGATCATTCTCACTGGCCTTCTTGACTGGTAAGTCTACTATTCCTCCAAATCACCCAAAATACACCCTAAAATCACCACCACTTCTCTAAAGTTCAGTGGTTTACCAGTACTTCCTATTCATTCAGAACAGAAGCTACCTCCATCTACTCTGTGTGTGTGTGTATACATACATATACACATATATACATACACATATACACATATATATACACTTATATACATATATACCCATATATGCACATATATACATATATACACATACATATATACACATACATATATACACACACACACACACACACACACACACACACACACACACACACACAGAATCATAAAAAACCCTAGCTTTAACCTAGGAGTTGCCTTAGAAATCCACCTGCCCCCTCATCTGAGATGAGGAAGTTATCAATTGCAGGTTTACAAAGCAAATAAAAGAGAAATGTTCAGTCATTTTTAGTCCTGTCCAACTCTTTGTGATCCCATTTGAGGTTTTTCTTGGCAGAACTGGACTGGTTTGCCACTTGCTTCTCCAGCCCATTTTACAAATGAGAAAACTAAGGCAAACAGGGTTAAGTGATTTGCCCAGGGTTACTGAGCTACTAACTGTCTGAGGCTGGATTTGAACTCGGGAAGAGGAGTCTTCCTGACTCCAATTTACTCATTACACTGATCCTTGTGTATGTGTGTAATATATATACACATTATGTGTATGCATATACACATATTTTATCTCATTTGGAAAGACTTACCCAAGGTCACACAAGTAAATCAAGTTAGAGAGATCTAGGATTTGAATTAAGAAGCCAATGACTCCTAATTCTGGCAGTCTATTTTTGTATCCCCAAAGCCAAGCAAGAAGCCACTAAGAGATGAAAACAAACAACAAAAGCTATTTATTAAATTTCCACTGGCCTACCATGTGCCAGGCACTGCACTAGGCACTGGGGATACAAATGCAAAGAATGAAACAATTCAGGGGGCTGAATTTGAGTAGAATCCAAGGGCATGTGGGTTGGAGACCCTGGGGGGCGGAAGTGTGCAAGGCACTCCACCCGTAGTAAATCACTTACCGTCAGGGGAGGCGGGTGGATACCATCTGATGATACATTCAACCAGTTCTTTTGCTCTAATTCTACAGTGGTTGCTTCCGAAAACTTGCACCTCTGCTTTTTCGGGCTTTTCACCATCTTCCTCTTGGTTGAACAGATCTATTTTAATCTGAGCGCCGGAAAGGGTCTCCATTGCTCGAATCCTCGATCCTTTCATCCCTGAGTCAAGTCAATAAGCGTCCACATTAAGCTCCTACTACGTGCCATGCATGGGCTAGGCACCAAGGATTCAAACCCCCCCCAAACCACAAGCCACAGCCACTGGAACAAAGGAGAGGGAAGAGAGGGTTCTCGAAGCGACACCGGGGTTGGGGAAAGGCCGAGCTTCCAGGGCTGCGACGGCTCCGTCCCTGGACCCCGGTCCGCCGCCGGCGAGGGGAGGGGAGGGGGCAACCCTGGGAAGCGGCCACGTGGACAGCTGCCGAAGCGCGGGCTCACTTGCCGGGGCTCTCCCGGCGCGGGGGCGTGGGGAGGAGACCCCACCAGCGAGCGGAGGAGGGGACGAGAGGGGACCAGGAAGGAAGCGGGGGTGCAAGTCCCCGAGCACTCACCTATGAGGGCCCCCACGAGCCGAGCCTCGACTAAGAACCGCAGAGGGCCCTTTTCTTGGGGCTTGGGTCTCGGTCTCCGAGGACGGGACTGGTTATAGTCTTCTCGAACAAGCTGGTTACTCATGGTGGCCTCGGGACGCAGGTGAAGCAAGCCAAGAGCGGAGGGAAGACTGGGCTTCAAAGAGCTCAAGTCCAATTTCAAAGGCACAGGTAAGAGGCCCGCCCCTTCACAGACCGCCCGGCATTGGCCCGAGCGGATTCGGAATCATCCAATCCTTTCTCGCCTCAGCCTCTGGGGGCGGTGCCTCTCCCCTACCCCACCCCCACTCCACCCCCGCTCCCACCCCAGGCTTTGGAATCCATCTTTTTCCAGCCCACCCACCCAGCCCTTTCCACTGCAGATATTTGTCTTTAGAAAAATATTTCCTTAGAGTTTCACCGAGTAATTTGATTGTGCAGAAAAGGGGATGTTGGGAGAAATGATGGGAGAAGAAGAAGGGAGAAAGATATTTCTTATCATTAAATTATTAAGCTATTAAATTGTTACTAATTAATATTAAATTGATATAATAATAGCCGGCATGTATATGGCGCTTTTGCAAATGTTATCTCATTTGATCCTTACAGCTATAGCTAATAAGTTGATAACTTTAAAAGTTGCAAAAACACTTTATGCATTTTCTTGTTTGTTCCTCACCAAAACCCCCTGAGGTTCCCTGGTTTCAGTTGTGTCCTAACCTTTGTGACCCCCTTTTGCAGTTTTCTCGATAAAGACACTGGAGTAGCTTGCCATTTCCTTTTAGAGCTCATTTTACAGATGAGGAAACTCAGACAAACGGTGAAGTGACTTGCCCAGGGTCTCACAGCTCAAGTGTCTGAGGCCAGATTTCAACTCAGGAAGACAAGTGGTCTATTCACAGCGCCACCTAGCCGCTATCCCTGTTTTCCCGCGTTTCACCCCGGTGAGGTAGGGGCAATTATTAACTTCAGTTTACAAATTATAAAGCTGGGAACGAGAAAGATTAAGTGATTTAGAGCAGGTCACAGAGCTAAGCTACTGAGATTGGATTCAAACTCAGGTCTATTCTGAATTCCAGCTCTACCCACTGTGCCACCTAGCCTCAGTTTTGCAGAATTAGTAGATGAATACCTCAGGTAGAACTGGATAAGTTGATTGATTTAATTTAATTCTGCACACCTTTATTAAGCCTATTATGCAGCAGGCAGTTGAGGATATCAAGCTAAATTGAAGACGTTTACATCCTCTCAATACACAGATAAGTAAATAATACATGTATATAAATATAAGATATATGATATAATACAAATAAAATACATATAAATATATACATATGTAAAATATGCATGTGTAAAGTATATGTATATTAAAATATATGTATATAAATAATGTGTATGTACATACGTACACACGTATACATGTATAAGATCACCCAGTCCAACTCCATCATTTTACAGATGGGAAAACAAAAGTCAGAGAAATGGCTTCCCAAGGTCACAGACATCAGAAGTGGAATTCCAAGTGTCTTCCTCTGATTCCAGAGCCAAGCTTCCTTCCACTGGCACAAGCTACAAAATAAATACAGTGTTTTATGGGGGGAGGGGGAGTTGTTGGGGTTTTTTTGTTTGTTTTAGTTTTTGTTTTTCGGAATGGAAAACATTACCAACTCTAGTAATCAAGAAGATTTTCTGGTGAAAATTGGCTTTTGAGCTGAGGTAGGTAGGGGTTCCAAGAAACTGAAAAGAAGAGAATATTCCAGGTAAGGGGGGAAGGAAAGAAACATCCTGTGAGAAGGTAAGACGGCAAGAAGGCAGATTACTGGAACATGGACTGTGGGTTTATCTCCAATGTATCTTGTAGATATATTGTAAATAGTTGTTTGCATGTTGTCCCCCCATTTGACTGTGAGCCCCACAGTGCCTGGCTCATACTGGGGATTTAATAAATGCTTGCTTGACTGACTGGGAGTAAAAAATCTGCTGAAAAATCTGCAGCCAGATTGAGAAGGGCATTAAATGTCACTCCCCCCAAAAAAGCTAAAACCCAGTGTCTGCCCTTAAGGTGCTTACAGTCTAGTAGGGCAAGATAATACCAATCTAAGTATGTGTAAAATAAACACAAGACCCCTCCCACTTCTCTTACAGAGTTGGGGGCTGCAGGCAAGGAAAAACCACATATAATATCAGACTTCTTCAATATGTTGATTAATTTTGCCAAACTTTTTCCTCCTCTTCTATTTTTTTTTTTTTTTGGTTAGGTAGGAGAAGTGAGAAAGAATTCATTGGGAAGTGTAGTTGATATAAAAACGAGGGGGAAAAAATACAGAACCGTTTTGAATACATTTTTTTAAAATGTTTTTATTTAGGTCTTTTATTTTTTTACATCATCAGTTTCCCTTAGTGTCCCTCTCTTTCTCCCTCCCAGAGAGCCATCCCATATAATAAATAGTATTTTTAAAAAGAAAAAGAAAGGGGGAAGGAAGTATAACTGATCAATACATTGAATAAGTCTGAAAATACATTCCATGTTCAACACTTGTAGACCTCCTACCTCCCACAAAGGGAGTCTTCTAAGTCTAAGGGTGTCTTCTCATATTTTTTCTTTTAATCCATGTTTGCTCTTTACAATTTATCAGCATTCACTTTTGATTTTTTTTAGTGATTATTCTTTCCAGTTTACATTGTCATAATCAGTGTATATAATTTTTTTTAAATTATGTGCACAAAGAATACAGAGAAAATTTCTCATGTTTCTTTTTGTTATAAGGGTTGGCTTTCTCTTGGAAGAAGCATGGTGGGAAATAGAGTGTCCCAAAAGACTTACACTTTGATTAAGACTTTTGAGACACCCTATATAGCTGATATGAAAACAGAAGATAACAATAAAAATTATTTTAAAGTGAAAATAAAATGGAAGCAGAAATTAAAAAAAAAAGTTCTCTCTCCAGCCACAGCTATGAAAGGTTCTCTTCTAATTTTTTAAAAATTGGTGTGACTTTTGATATTGAGGTGGAATCTGTATTTTGAGTTTACTGTAGTATATAGTATAAGAGCTATAACCCTACTATAGAAATTGTCTATATCATTTCCTTTTAGAAATTATTATGAGTTTCAACAGGATGGTAACAAACTTCATTCAGGAGGCTCAAGAACTCAAAAGAACTTCTAGTAGTTGGGGAGATATTAAATTCTGACTTAGAGGAACACTTTCAAAATAATCCCTTTGAATCATTTTCATAGTTAAATGCTTTTGTGTGTTTTTTAAAGTTTCTTTTGCAAACAAAGAAATGACAGTTATACTTTTTAATGGAAAAACTTTTAAAATGCACACTAGTGGTGGTTTATTAAAAGTGGGAAAAGCAAGAGTAAGCTATGTATTAAAGTTCTTGAATGAAGCATCTCACATGTACAATAGCCCTACGTCTGAGACTGTGAAATCTGGATGTCATGATAATCATATCATACTTAAGAGTTGTCCCACTTCCAGGGTCTGACTTAAGGATTCTTGATTTTTTATATAATCCACTGTCCCTTTTCTCCCACCTAATTAGTTGCTTCTTGCTCATGTGATATGATGCCTATAATCAAAGAATTCTTTCACTTGGTCCTCCTTCCCTTAACTTTCACAGAATCATGGATTTAAAGCTGAAGAGAAACTTAGAGATCATCTAGTCCAACCTGTTCTTTTTCATTTTATTTTATTGTTTTCAATCAACAAAAATCGATTTTCTCAAATCCCCCCGAGACACTAGTTGTATGATGCTGGCCAAGTCACTTTACCTCTGCTTGACTCAGTTTCCATCCCTATAAAATGAAGAGAATAGCATAACACCTACTTCCCAAGGTGGTTATAAGGATAAAATGAGGTAGCAAACTTTAAATCATTATATAAATGCTAATTATGAGGAGGAGGAAAAGGAAAAGGTATTTTTTTGGGAGGGAAACCTCCCAAGGCTTCACCTCTTCTTAATTCCCCTGTTACTATCAAGGATACTCTCCCAGGCACCCAGGCTTACAACCTCAGGTTCATCCCTAATTCCTCCTTCTTATTTACACCACACATAGTCTGTTGCCAAATCTTATTTCTACCTTCACAACATTATATATATGTGTGTGTGCACACATGCATATGTGTATATATGTACTTATTGTACATATATATGTTTTTGTATATACACAGGTACTTATGTATATGTGTTATATATGTGTGTGTGTGTGTGTGTGTGTGTGTGTGTGTGTGCATATATACACATTAGCCTCTGAGGCTGAGATGTAACAACATATAGATCAATTCTCTGCTGCTTGTGCTAATTTTGGCCTAACAAATAAAACCAAGAAAACAGGTTCTCCACCAGCCAGCAACACACCATCTATAAGTGGAAGCATCAATTATAGCAAATGGAGAAATTTGGAGTGCTGTGGATAAGTTCACTTACCTTGGCAGTATACTTTTTTCTTTTTTAAGGCAATTGAGGTTACATGACTTGCCCAGGGTCACACAGCTAGTAAGTGTCAAGTGCTTGGTCCAAGGCTGGATTTGAACTCAGGTACTCCTGACTTCAGTACCAGTGCTCTATCCACTGCGCCATCTAGCAGCCCCGTTGGGAGCATACTTTCCAGGGATGTACACATCGATGATAAGGCTGACGCACGCATTGCTAGAGCTAGCTCAGTGTCTGAGAGGCCCCAAAAGTAAAGTGGGAGAGAAGAGGTATTAGAGTGCCTACCAAACTGAAGATCTACCAAGCCGCTGTGCTGACCTCATTGTCATATGCCTGTGAAACCTGGACTGCATACCAGCTCCGTGCTAGGAAACTGAATCGCTTCCATTTGAATTGTCTTAGGAAGATTCTGAACATCACTGGCAAGAAAAAGTACAGGACACTGAGGTCCTTTCTCAAGCTGAACTGCCAAACATTCAAGCTCTGCTGCATAGAGCGATGGGCTGGCCACGCTGTTCAAATGCCAAATGTACATTTTGCCTAAAAAACTTATTCAATAGAAAACTCACAGAATGACATGCAGGTCAGGAGAAAAGATGCAAGGACACTCTCAAGGTCTCTCTGAAGAACTCTGGAATCAATTGTGAGACATGGGAGACACTGGCACAGGACTCCTCATGCAGACACATGGCATACCCACATCAAAGAAGGTACTGTATTCCATGAACAAAACAGAATTGCAGTAGCTCAA